AGCTGCTCCTGCGACCGCGGCCTTACACGCATCTCTGCCGCCTCCGCTGCCCCTCCTGGCCTGCACATGCTTGTCCGTCGCCCTTTCTGCCGCACCTTCTCACATCTATCGCCTTTTCAAGTCTCGGACATGGCGGGAAGCCTTCACAATTTTACAGCTCAAACTCTTGGACAAGACCTCAAGCCCTCCAACACAAAAACCTTCGTCAGCCCCACTGTGCTGAGGCAGCTGCAGGCTGCGATCCGGACTTCGTGCTGTTTCTCAAAACGGCGTTTGCAGTGTCGTGCAAGATGAGCCAAGACCAGACTGCACACCTGACGAGAACCAAAGATATGAGCACCAGAGCGGCCTATGAACAGGTCACGCGCTTGATGCACGCACACAAAGTGGCAATGGCTTGGTCAGAGACGGCACGTGCTGCTGCATCGAGTACGCGGTTTGACCGTGAGATCGTCGAAGCGGACTCGGCGAGGTTCAGCAAACGCAAAGAGGTTGACGAGCAAGGCAAGCCAGTTCGAGTTCACAACGGTCGTACTTTGGTGCTCAAGGGCAGACGCACCAAGTCCTGGCTCGCATCCGGTATGGCGCTATCGACTTCACGTGGTGTCAAAGGAATGCCACGGGAAACATGTGAAGAAGTGCAGGGCTTGCTGCAGAAAAAATTCGGCACCGGCACTGTCTTCGCACCCGACGGTGCCCAAGCATGGGGCAAGGCCAGCAAGACCAACAAGCGTCCCTTGCTGAAAGGCGTCTCGCACAATCGTGGCATCTTTACACCCATTGCCATGTTGGACGACGATGCCATCGATGCGAACACTGACAGGATGCTGTGTGGTGAGAAAAGCATGGCCGCGCTCCAGGACGGCGAGTGGGCTGTGCCAGCAGGCCACTGGACATGGTCGATTTCTGATTAAACTCAGACTCGTAGACCCTAAACTAAGCCCTCGCAGCCTTCAGCCCTACTTAAACCACACTACACCTTGGCCGACCAACGCAAGTGACAATTGTGCAGAGGGACTCCTGGGCTGTTTGAAGAAAACCATGAGGCGACAGCAGACAGGTGGGGGCGGCTCTGGTTCTGATTGTCTGCGAACAGTCAACGCCCCTTCCGCAGCAGCACAGAGATCCCAGTTTCAACCGGCTCTTGGCGGCACACAAGAGTTACAGGCTGGCATTGGAGAGCAGACGGGTGATTATCAACCCCCGAGATGCTTATGCAGTCGACAAGTGCTTTTGGCTCTGGCAGGAAACGGCTGAGTGGCAAACAGAGAGTCCCAACTTCCGTGCATGCTTGCGCCTTCGGGTTTTCGGTTTTCAGGTTGGCAAATTTGCAACCCCTACAGGCCCTGCGTGGCGACTCTGGCATTTCGCCTCCAGAACTTGTTGCTTTAGCACATACGTTGCATAATCGGAAACACTGGCAGGACGAAGGATTCTACGACAAAGCCCCTTTCATAGAGATTCGGCGCGGGCAAACCACAAGTGCCGACCGTAGTTTTAGTAGTGGTAATGGTAGTAGTAGTGGTGGTGGTGGTAGTGGTAGCAGTAGCAGTAG